TTGCCTTCCGTGACCAGCGCACCCTTGGAAGGAAATTCATCCAGGCGCAGGGGAAATTAACGTCTTACATGCGTAAACTAGGAATCTGGCAGTCTTTGGTTATGAGATTGGGAATCTGAGAACGAGATATGTTCGATGGCTAACCACGGACAAAAGAAATGACGAGTCTCGGCTATTTATTCAGTATTTACTTATTAATTGAATGGTCATCCAATCCTAATACAATTGTATCGAAGATATCCCATAAGAAAAAACTTCACTTCTTGAGCTCTGCAGGCTAAAAAAAAAAGAATTATGCAATTGATTTTCAAACGGACAATGATTGACATGCACTTGACAAGCAAACATACCCCCGCAGGTAAAAAATAATCACAAGTTCAGTGATCCCTCAAATAAATAGTAATTTGGCTTAATTATATTAATAACCTTAAGACCTGACATGTACTTGAATTACACTCAAAGTGACCAACCGATTTAAATAATTTCGTCCCCACTACAGTCGGAAGGTTCGTGGAAAGGAATCATATTAACTATGATACTATGATTACTAAGATGAAAATAAGCACTATAAACACGCGATAATCATTACGTCGCCTCATGATTATGTGAAAATATCAGGGGTCGGTTGGTAAAATATCGCTATCGGACACCGATAAATTTCTTATGCAGCGGAAAAATCCATACAAAATCTATATGCGTCGATCGGTCGATTATGAACTTTATCCACCTTCCGTACAACCGTAATCAGCCAATCAGAGGGCGCATACTAACCTTAGACATATGGTAATAATTGATATCGAATTGCCACTAACTACCATTCATTAGTATGGTAATTAACATTCATTTTCCGAGGCGATAAAATCTAAAATATCAAACACAAATCACTGCACCCAAATTATTATCATCACACGGCTTCCGTTTTTCCTGCCACAGGAACCCCAATTCTAGCCGCCATTTTCTCATGGCCACTTGATGTAGATGTCAGCTATGTATTTCTAGAAGTGGCAGCAGGGAATGCTCGAGTATTTGCTGTCAAAATGAACATTTGGCGACATGTTTACTAGATGGAAACGGTTTATATTGAATTTCAGTCTGAGTTGGGATCATAATTGGTGAATTGGGTCAAAAAGGCACAGTGTATAAGTTGGCTGCACTCGCGGGTTTCTAGGGCTGCGAAGTCGTTCCAATGGATTTCATTAAGGTATCAGTTAAATTTAACACCTCACAGCAATTCTGCTTGTGCCATATCAAAAGACAGTTATTCAATTAAGGTTTAGACGATGTATTTAAAAGTGCACGCATGCATGAGTGATCGTTGACTTGTTGATTTGTGATTTCAGCTGATTTCCAGGACTACCAAACATATAATATAACAATATATTTTAACAATAATATCTTATTTTCACACTCAATATAAAAGAGAAGGTAAAATATCAGAATTATAACTGTGTAGAGATTCAAACATGACAACAGAAGACAGCGAGTCGCGCGGAGAGTCAACGTTCGAGGGAATCTTGCCGATTGTTTTCGGGAGCATTATAAAAACCTTTCAGCTTACGTTTTTAATTTCAATTCAAAATTCTGTATTCAGGACGTAAAATTCACCGCGATGTGTTGTTTACATAGACTGCTTTGATTTCACCGAACAAGAAAGCACAGTCATGAACCAGTCTAATAATTAAGGACTTAGTCTTCTTATAGCAATATTAAAACTTCAAGCATATAAAACGCTTTCACTTGAACATAATCTAAACAATAACCACAATAATGAGCAACTCGATTTGTCTTTACTCACATAATTTATTGAATCTGTTCGTATTATAATGAGTTTATCAACTTCACTATAAAAACTCTGTAAAATCTATGAATAATTCAAATGGCCTGATCACTTTGCAGGATAATAGAACATGTATAAGGTTATATTTTAAAAGATTTAGAATAGGCAATAAATTACTGAAAGAATTATTTGTATAGAGTATTTTAATAATAACAATAGCAAGATTTAGTAATGAGTTTATAGTAATTATTAATTTTCTGATGATTTTGATTTAAATCCAGTTTTAAATCAGTCATAGTAAACTCTGTAAAGATATATTTTTCATTATAACCTAATATATTTTAAATGTTGGTGTGAAGGATGCTGTTTCTACAGGCGATTCATATTTGCTATTGGCATGTATTCAAACATGTCATTTACAAATATCTAGAAAAACCATGGTTTTAGGCAGCTTTTTTGACATTAATCATGAAACAATAAGGCAAACTTGTCTGCTGTCATGTCCAATATTGGATGGTTATTATTGCATTTATGCTTTAGTGATTACAATAACAATGTGTAGTGTTGTGGAGCTTTGTAAGGAAACAATGAATGCATTACTCATCCATTAAATTAGTGTTTTTACAACTGGAGTTATATTTTTGATTATTCGTGTTAAAAACATTTAAAATACATCATTATATCTCCATTGGCTAGATAAGAACAATTACTGGTTTCTATCTAGGTGATTCAGGTTTCAATTGCAAATCTAGATTTTCAAATAAGATGTGCTGCACATAAGAAGAACACCTCCAATTTTTTAGTATTCAAATATTGTTTCCAAGTTATGTAAATGTTCTCATGTTTCCTGTCTTTCTATTTACTTAGTACTCTAAAACACCAACAACAGAATTGAATACATTATTGACCACATGAATGAGTACCTCTGTTCTTCCTGTAGTTTTGGTTTAGTGAGAGGTTCTTTTCTGTTACAGCTGTAAGGAATGCCAAGTTGCTTAACCTATTTTATGCTATCTGACACACAAGAGGTCATTCCTTGTTAGAGATCTTCAGTGTTCATTCATTATCCTTAGGATATATACAAACACTCCAAGCAAAGTCCTAATCAAATCAAACCTTTTGTAATACCAGTTGAGCCATTTTCTACAGCTCTATCCTCAGAGTTGCTCATACTATTTAGACAGTACAGTCAGGATGGTATATATATGCATTCTGGGAGTAAATAAGGTAAGGTCAGGGCTTTTATTGTTGTGAGTGATTAATTGTTATCTGATGCTACAGATGAGCACACTCAACTGTTAACACTCTAGGTGTGGTTGTATTTGATTGGTTTAGACATAAAGGTCAGGCTATTAGGGCCCTGTAGATTCTATTGCATTTCAAATGCATTGTTCTGGAACCTTCAAAGACTAAAAATTGGTTTAACTTTTAAAGAAAGGTGTTAAAATGTCTTCCAGTGTGAAGGTTGACTTGGGGATTTCAAAATATTGTAAAAGCTATGAATTCAAGACTGACTGGCTTCACCAAAGACCAAATTCTGGCTTCTTTCACAGCCTTCAGCTGGTGAGCTTGTGACTTAGCAGGATATTTTTAATCATTTTGAAAACAAAGCTATAAAGAATTTGTTTTAATTTTCTTGAGAATTGTTTGTACAAGTTTGTGTGTTTGGTTCATTCAACCAGTGATTTGTTTAGTAAACTATAAAGTGGCTGGCCAACATCCATCTGTGGATAAAAAATCCTCACATCAAAAAATGACAGAATGTCAACTATTAATCACTAAGTGCTTGTACATGACTTGTGGCGTTTTTATAATGCATTTCCATGAAAACATGCCATTAACTACAATACAATGCTATAAAATCTTCACTACTATTAAAATTAATTTTATTTTAAGTATTTTATTGGAAGCAGACTAGATTTTAATCAAGCATAACATGAACTATAATCTCATGTGTTTCTAACCCAGTGCACATACTTGAGTAGCAAAGGGGTAGACAAAACATGAGATTTGACTTAAGATTTGCTTTAAAAGCATTGATGACCACTTATGTTACCTGTGTTATTATTAATATTAAAATGCTTTAAAAGCATTAATTGGCTGACATTAATTTAGTCCTTTATTTCAACTTGCTTTTCCTGTCATTAGGATTATGAGATTTTGTTTCCTTTGTTTGATGTTAAAAAATGTTATCTATGATTATAGATGAGAAATTTAAAATTGCCTTGCAGTTTTTATTCATAAATTTTTAAAATCTTATTATCATTGAAGGCATTGTATCTAAATCATCAATCAAGTAGAACTCTATCATTACGTCAGAAAAGTATAATAACTGATATGATATGTTGTACGTTATAGACGTTTGTGATGAATATTTTTAAATTATCTTCAAAAAACTTGTAGTACTAATGTTCTATTGTACAGTGTTATTCTCTGCATTAAGATATGTATTTGTACATAAGTTCTTTTGCTGTTTCTTGATTTAACTATGAGTTTTCATACACCATAATTCTATGTACAATGGGTCAGATGTTGACAGCCCCTAATTGATAGAAACTAATATAGAACTTTGCACACTAGTGAAATGCTGTTAGGTTTGTGATGTATATGTGAAGGCATCTACTTATAACTGGTAACAAATTGATTTTAAAACAGGCAATTGCATGATATGAAGGTGAAGTACTTGTAGACTTCTGACGATCAGGATGAACTGTTGACCTCACATACTAGGCAGATATATAGCAATGTAGCCATGATTCGTGCCATGATAAATAGCCACAATTGAAGTCTCTATAGCAACTTGAGTCTAGATATAAGCAAAAAAGAGTTGACATATTTATAAATAAAGGAACTAATAATATATTGCGATATAATAGTGTCTAGTTTTTGATGTTATGGATAAGAGCAAAATGTCAACAAATATTGAATGATAAAGTAATAGGCAGTCTTAAAATGTAAAGTTAAATAAATGATTGGATGAATAAATGCATAGACATTTAGGTAAATATGCAATAAAAAAGATAGGTATATGAAAGAATAATTTATGAACAAGTTTAGTTGATGCAAGTCAATTAAATTCCAGCAAGGAAATGCACATGTAGTTAGGCCATATTGGTGTACATTCATTGTTAATATTTCTTCATGATGCAAATATAACAGCAGCTTGATTTAATCCAATTAACTAATTAATTGACTATATCATTCTCATAACTTGTTTCTAGTTTTGCTTGTTTGTTTTGTACAAATTGATGTCACTTTATTAATAAGTCTGCTACATGTATGTTATTATTTTTATGTGAGTATTTCAACCTGCCGTCAACACCGGATGTAATCTTATAATGAGATCTTAGTAAGCATCCTCTTATGCAATAATCAGCATGGTAAAATGCACAAAGAAATGTTGTTGTGTCTCTGCTGTTGAAATGTACCATGTTAGACTATCTGGAAAGAATCAAGTTAACTACTTATCATGCTCCTGCCTGTGAATTGAGGGGATATTATTTCAACTTACAATTGATTTACAATACAAATAGAAACCATGCAGATCAAGTGGTTTGGGAGATTGCAAGTTTTGTTGGGAAATTATAACTGAAAAGCCTAATGCCATTCTAGTTGTTTCAAAAAGAAGTATTAACCCTTTTTTACAAACTGTGTTTCAATGTAAAAGCAAATTAAATGAAAAATTTGATGTTTGAGCACACATGCATCATTAACTGGTCATCCTTTCAAAGATTAAAATAGTATTGATTGATTGATAGTATTGATTGATTGATAGTATTGATTGATTGATAGTATTGATTGATTGATAGTATGATCAAATTATGTATCAATTAGATGTCTTGTAATACATTTTGAAAAATCAACAGTATTACTTGTGAACCTAATGACCATACTAAAATCAATAACTTGGCTTCATGATCAAGAGAACACCAAGTATAATAAGTAGAGCAACAAAGTATAAACTAGAGAAAATAATGCAATAATCAGCTTTCAGTCATAATGTTTCATGTGTTTTAGAGTGATCAAGAGTATGAAGAAGACATGAAAGATGAGATTGACAATGTTATGGGTTTGTTGGACAAAATGAAAGAAGAAAGACAAGAAGAAATGTTATCTTCACAGGTAAATATTATTTACAACATATTATTTACAACATTTTGTAGTATTTTTTCAAGAATTGATACACTGGACTGTATGGTGATCCTTTTATACAATGTTTTCATCTACAAAATCACGGCATGTTTTATCATGTTTTGATTAAGTATCCAAAAGTGTTGCCTTTATTTACTCATAGTTAACTATGATCACTATAAGACAAAAAACAGCATCCCTTCAAATCCCAAGATTGGAATAGGGGAAGGGAGTGGAGGGGAGGGAGGGACATTTTTGCCAATATTTCATCATACTGATGGTGATGAATTTTCAGGAGTGAGTCATAATTTATACAAATTTCAGAATTATGAATCTAAGTTGGAATTGATGTGTGTTTTCCTTGTTGACAGTCTGAAAGAGTTTCAAGATTGGAAAGGCTGAAGAGATCAAGGCATCCACATGTATGTACTCGATTGGGTTCAAAAAAAGAACCAATTGAACAAAACACACCAGCTAGATAAAAAAATATAACTGCCCAACGGCCTCAGCATCAGCAAACAACAAATACACAAGTTAATATAACACAAGCAAGCAAAAAATAAGCTCATATAGCAAATCAACAAACCAAAACACACCATATAGTTTATCAATTAAAATTGTGCCAATATTAGTTTTCTGTATCATTAATTCAATCAGAAGATAACAGCAAAGACGGTTTCCTTTGACTAGACACATTACGTGCCGATTGTTATGGCAAGTGACGTCATTATCCTCGAACGCAGATACCTTGGGATGTTATTTTTTTACAGAGTGCACGGTTAATGTTTTTGCAATTTATCAAAACCGCGAATCGCTTGATGATTTGAGTTGATTTCTCATAAAATCGTTTTTATTGAGATTCCGTGCTGTTGTCTCAGGAAGGGGACAAATAAGATTACTATCAGAAGCATCAGGGGTTCCTTGTCGCGACATTGTTTTCGCTGTAATTTTTGGACCAGCTATATCCATGTTTATGGCTCGTGTTTCAATCTTACCTAGACGTTTTAAAATGTGAAAAAACGCTACTCTGCTCTCCATATAGTAAACTCTTCGCAACCATTTTTGACACTCGCCCTATAACTTGCAGAGTTTGTAAGGTTGTTTTTGGCCGGCTTCCCAAAACATACGTGCAATACAAGATTGCGTTTACACAGAGTTGACGTGATACTACTGCATGTACTTAAAATTCGTCAAATTTCCTGGACTTGAAAACGCGTTTTTTCATGCCTGGGTGAAAATCCTTTGAAAATGGGATCAAAAGCTAAAACTTCCGAAATACTTGAATCTTATGACAGTTCAGTTATGATGAATAAATAAAAGTTGAAAGTGATCGAAGAGTTTCTGATGGCTTTTCGGTAGTAGTGTACCGAATCAGTGTTCAAAATGTTATGTAGGGTCTATAGGTAAATTGGTGGCTTAGGTCTCTACTGACAAAAAACGCACTTTTTGAATTTGTGATGATAATGTGGCCACGAACCCCAGGTACAAATAAAATCAATGTATAATGTCTAATGAACAATCTTGACTTTATTGACAGGAACAGAGTACTGGTGAGAAAGGGACAAAATACTCGACAGAAGGTGAGTGGATCAGTCTGGCTGTAGAACTTGTAAGAGGTGGCACATTTGTTGTACCCACATTTTTGAAACTTTTTTCCTGTCTGGTATGGTTTTCAAGGGTCATGGCTAACCGACATTCAATGCGGTCGTGTTTTGATTTTCCATATATGGAAAATCCGTTCCCATACGTCGATTTTCTAGGCTCGAATCTTTCCATTCATAGAGCAAAAAGGGATAATTAAGAGTAAGTCTTTACTTAAATTTATTTTCAAACACAAACGTAAGCTCGTAAGGTTGTCGGTTGGCCATGCCCCTTTAAGACATTGGACTAGTATGCCAGTTCAGAGAATACTCTCCGGCTCCTCGTTTGCAATTTTCTTTAGTTTATCATGCGAACTCCTAATCCGCGTTTCCCCGAACATAACAAGGCTTCGCCATGCACGCCTTTCTATCGTCCGTCAATATACTTTAGCTAATCCTGAAAAGCTGAAGGACCATAAATACCACATGCATTGGTTAGCGGTGAAGGTTAGTTGTTCACTTTTGTTTTATTTTAAGATGAAGATCTTCATCGCGAGGGGCAACAAAAACGTAAACAAGATTACGTAGTGGCCGAGTTACGTGAGAAAGCCGAGGTATTTTACGTAACTGATAGGATTATACGTAGAATAACCATTACGTGAAAAAGCTCAAAAGGCTTTTTTCTGAGGTAGCAGTTTGTATTGCATTGTGGTCTAGATTCGGTACAAACGTCCTTTGCTCATGCTTCTAAATATGGAATATGTGCAAATATGTGCACTATGAATTTGTATCTCAGAAAAAGTCGATTGTAGTATCGGGCGCCCGGCGAAAAAGTTGTATATGATAGTGATCGAGAACCTCGCTGATCAGTATTGTAGTGAACCTCGAACCGGATACGGTCTGGTGTTGGTGAATACACATTGGCAAACGACTTACGGTATAAGCTACCCGAAATATGTCAAACTTTCCGTTCATGGATACGGACTTGCAAAGGACGTTACGTATTAGCAGTCCATTAATTTACGTTAGAGTAGATTATGCATTTGACCATGTGAAATATTATTCAATTACTCAAATCTTAATGATCAATACCCTCCATATTTATCCAATCATGTTTGTGTTAAAAGATTATTAGCAAAAGTGCCCGTAAAGGTCCTCAGGATGTAACGTCAACCTTATCTAGGAATCAGAATATGGAAGACGATCCAGAAGCCGTAAGTGTACTTAAGAGAAATCATCTAAAGTCCTATTCTCGGGCAGTTTTCTTAATAAGTTTTTACATGATTTATTTAATTTTTACAGTCAAAATACCTCGAGAAGATCCGAGATACCTCAACGTCTAAAGAGGTAAAGGAATATTCTTTGACGATATTTACCATTCATGCATCATTCCGCATGTCTATCTTAAGGCCCGTCTACACTTGCAATTTTTGCAGTGCGACAATAGCCACTTTGTTCTCGCGCACCTCAAATCGTACGTGTAAACAGCCCTGCGATTGTCGCGGCAAACGAAAATCTCCCCGAGTTGCAGTTAAATTTCAAGCATGTTCGAAACTCAGGCAACAATCGCGCAACAATCGCGCTGCAATAATCGCAAGTGTAAGCGGGCCTAAGATTTTGTACAGGCGTCGACCAATCAGTGACTTTAAGTAAATTACGCGCGCAATTCTTAATTGATTATGACGTCACTCCTTTCACTTCTCGATGGCAAAGACTTTTCTTGTTGGTGAATGAGCTAGAGACTTGGCGAGAAAGCAGAAGGATGACTAGCCAATGCTTATAGATAATTTCAAGTCGTTTGTGTATAAGGCTTTTGACATGTATGTACGTAAAATTGTTCAAATCTTTGAAGATATGAGGAGAGTAAGTATGAGATTGCTGTAACGTTCATTCACTGCATGAATTTGTAGTTTTTTTAAAGCCTTTTGTATTTGTTATTGTATATATTTCAAAATTATTTTTGCTGTCCATCGCTGTTTACTTATGTTTTAGCATTTTTAATAGTGCTTCGTTTTGTTTTCGAGTAAACGACTCATTCTGCCTAACCTAACAAGGCTCTTTCACGATTTTAGTTTAGTTCAAAACAGCGCCTTGACTAGCTCGTATATGCATTGTCTTATAAATGATATTATGACATGATGATTTTTACAGACAAGAGAGAAAAAGGAGCAACTTGAGACAAACACAGTCGTCGTAGACTTGCCTCCGCAAACCCCAAGGCATAAAACGGTAAAAATATTCTCGACTGTTTACAGCAATAAGTAAAAACCAAAATCCCAATATTGTTTTTTTTGACACATAGAAATGTCAGAAAAAATTAGAAGAAATTCTGACATAAACTGTCAGGTTTAGAAAATAAAATGTTTCATCTAATTTCGGTCTGAGTGAAATATAATCAGCATTGAAGTCTTATCGATGTGTTATTGTCAGTTTTGGCAAAAAGCTTTCACGTAATTGATATACTTCTCTTTCAATTACAGGAATCATTAATGTCTTTATGTTTTTTTCGTTTCCATTCAAAGTTTGTTACGGTTCATTATCAGTGTGTAATCTGACAGGAGTAATTGATGTGGACTCGTTTTATAGCAACACAAGATGTAGTTCAATGTTATTACAGTGTGCACCTGTACGACTCGATCCAGTCTCCTGACGCAAAATATCACAAAAGTAGAAAACATGTATTGATTGAAGAAGATTTTTAAATCTTTAAATTAAAATTAAAATTTTCTATTTTTCATTAACATGGTAGAGCGTGACAGTCAAACTCAATCTGGATATGCAGAAGTCCAAGATAGCTGTTGCAAAAGGTTCTGGTCTCCAAGGAAGACGAAAACCCACCACTGAACACATCAGACGAAGTCTACTGCTGAGTGATGAAGAGGAGCCCGAGGATGCCTCGGCCAAATTTGATGCTGATTTGGAAGAAGGGTAAAAAACACAATTTATTCATTAAAATGGCAGGTGATCTTTCTAATCCAGTGAAGTTTCCTTCATCAGAATGGACGCCGACGACGAAGATGAGCCAGCTACTCCAAATGAGATCACGCGCGTGGAAGCTGATTTTAGCGAGAGTATGGGTACTGCAGAAGCCAAAGTGATGCCACAAAGCCACTTAGAATATGGTGAGCGAATGGTCCTCGAGCGTCGAGGTAGCTTTGATGGTTTAATTCCGAGAAGCACTCCAAAACCTCGTAAACCAGCTTGGAAAAGCAAGACGTATGGGGGTGTGGCGTTGCCTGCCTTTGCAGAGGCTATGAAGGCTGGAAGTAAAAGTCTAAAGAAAACAGACACGGCCGAGAAACTGGTAAGCTTTGCGTGCATATAAAATCAACCATAAATTCTTCATCTGTAATATTCGTTTTTACAATAAAAAAAGAAAGTTAAGTTAATTTGAGTCGCTCTAATGCGAACTTTCTCGTAGAAGGCTTAACGTAAAAATCACAATAAGTCAGACTTGATACGTTTTCCGTGCCCTCGATGAATAATCCCTAAGATGTCATCTCGTTAAACAACTCATAACGTTTCTTTACTCTGTATTAGTTAACGGCGGATGTCGTCAAACAGGCTGCAATCAACAAACTGAACAGAGCTGCAAAGGAAGACATTCCAGAAAAAGAACCGGAAAAACCTGCTTGGCTAGTTGAAGCCGAAGCTAGACGAAAATTACATGATAAACGGCGGAATGCTGGCGATCGCGAGAAAATCAAACCCAGTGAACCAGATGAGCGAGTCATTCCAATACGTTTGAAAAAAACCGGATCAAAGCTTCTAGAAGAAGACATCGATAAAATAGCACAACTTCAAGAGGACAATGAAGATGATTCACAGACTAATAAATTTGTATTCAAGCTAAAGCCTACAGTGGGTAGAGGAGAAAAGCAGTCCTTTGAATCGGAACCTACAAAGATTTCATTTCAACTGAAACCCACAGGAATTCAGCTTGTTGAACCTGAGCAACCCAAGCAGGAGGCTGAATCTACCGAGGCGCCCGTGACGGCTACTTTCGTAAAAGACTTTGAAACAGAGCCTCCAGTGTCCTCAATTCGTTTACGGCACATTTCAAAGCCCGAGCCAGTGGTGCATCGTTTAGAAGAACATGAGGAAAGAGTAACTCCATCTGTTCGACTTAGGCATATTGCTCCAAAACATGAGCCAGAACCTCGTGTAGAAGAGCAGGAAAAACCTTCACCTTCTTTTAGACTTCGTCACATAACTCCGAAACCTGAGCCAGAATCTCGGGTGGATCAACAAGAGCGAGCTACTGTTCGTCTTGGTCGCATTGCTCCTAAGCCAATCGTCAAAGACTTTGAATCAACACAGGAGCCTGAATTAACGATGAAGTTACGACTGAGAGGCAAAGCACCACCGATTTACCCCGATGAGGAAGACACGAATGTGCAAATCTCCCGTGTCATTCCTTCTTCGAAACCATCTCAATCTCAAGACGAATCTGCAGTAAGAAAAGCACAAACCCTAACGACGTATGTAACACCAAAACCAGTTAAAGTTGTTGCTACTAATGAATACAGAGAACCAAAAGCCTTAGAGATAGCACAGTTAATTGATCAACAACCATTGCGAACAACACCAGAGAGTACATCTTCTTTACCACAAACACGGTCCACGCCCAAGAACTTCTACAAAGTCACACCAATTGGTTCAGAACCCACACGAAGATTATCATACGGCTCTAGTCCTCGACTGTATGAAGTACCATCTGTTCCTACATATTCACAACCATTATCGCCAACATCGTCAAAAACGTTTTCACCTCCAATGTCTCCTACACTGAAAGCTACTCTCGTGGAGTCAACGCCCTCCAATGGATCATCAAGAACGTTTTCACCTCCACCTAAAGCTACTGTTGTGTCACACCAACGTGTAGAGCCAACGCCCATCTTCAGTGGATCGTCAAGAAGGTTTTCATCTCCAGTGTCTACAACACCAAAAGCTGACGTTGTGTCCTATCGCGTTGAGCCAACGCCCACCTTCAGTGGATCGACAAGAGCATTTTCACCTCAAATGTCTACAACGCCAAAAGCTACTTTAGTGTCCCACCGCGTGGAGCCAACACCTACCTCCAGTGGAAGGTCCATGTTGCCTGCTAAATCTAACCGAGGTAGGCGTATAAGCGCTGAACGGTCGAAAACTGTAGTTGTATCAGGAAGCGAGGTGCAACGTATCATTCCAGGAAGGAGGATGAGTTATGATGACGCTACACGACACCCTGTTAGAAGGTCCTCTAGCTTGGAATACCCAAGAAGTCATGTGGAAAAGGCAGCCAATGCTCATTTGAAGCATGCCGTAACTGTTGTGAAGGTACTAGCTCATTACACCTTTATTATATGTGGTATTATTGACTGCAATATCATCGTCATAACCATTACACCTTTAT